AAGTAATTCCTAGATGTTTCACTTTATAGTTATTCCTAAATATATATATATATTTATTGATCTTAATAAGACTGATCCTTGAAGTAATTTTTAGAGACTTGTACCATCTACTCTTCTGTCTGCATGGGGTTTTCCATCTACTCTTTCTCCTTGTTTTTGGTCTCTTAAGTCAGTTTCCTATCCATAGTAACACATTACGTCCAAACTCATTCTCTCATTTTCCCTCTCTTAAATTGTCATTAGTGGAGCGGCTTTTTTATTCTGAAAACTGAAACAGATCATGTTACTGGTTTGCTTTATTTAATATTATATTATTCTACAGTTTGCCCAGTCATTTCACCATTTACTGACCACATCATGTAATGTACTCTCCAAGGGATTAGGAAAACAAAAGATGATCCTCTGAATCAGAAGAGCTCAGAGTGAAGAGAAAGAGACAAAAGTAAAGAAGCAGATATAAAAATCAGCACTAAAATAGGGATATGCAGAATTGTGCAGGAGTATAAGGAGAAAAACACATTATTTGAGAGTGATTCGGAGTATGGATTTTTAAGTTAATTCCTAACTCTGACAATTACAAGAGTTATGTGACTTAAAGAGTAAAGATTTCCTCATTTGTAAAACGGGATCAATAACTATTTTATCTGTTTTTTTGTCAGGACTAGATAAGACAAAGGGCCCTGGTGGCATAGTGGTTAAGAGCTTGGCTGCTAACTACAAGGTTGGCAGTTTGAATCCACCAACCACTCCTTGGAAACCCTAAGGGGCAGTTCGACTCTGTCCTATAGGGTCGCTATGAGTTGGAATCGACTTGACAGCAATGGGTTTGGTTTTTTTTTTTGTTAGATAAGACAAAGTGCCGAGCACGGCAGTACATGGTTGTCACTCAATAAATGGTGTATGATATTGATAAAAGGGGACCCCTAGCCTGGGTAAAGAAGGCTTCCTGGATGACTCTTGAATTGAATTTTAAACAATTATTAGGGAGGGGAGGGAATCAAGATGGAACCTTAGAGAAGGGTTAAGTTTCCACGCTAGCATTGAGGATCCTCCATAATCTCATCTCTACCTGCCTCAGCAACTTCATCTCTCTAGACTCTCTGAAATGAACCCTTCCTTCTATCTAGATTGATTTATTCACTAACCTCAGAATATCCTTTATTTTCTTCTCTCTATTACTGCTGAGGCATACCTACCCCTGTCCCTGGCGTTAGCCTAAAGCCTGTCCATTCTGTAAAACCAACATAAGTTCCGCCTTCTTGTGACTGATCACTTTGTCCCACAGCAATGACTCCATTCTTTGAACTTCTGCAGTACAGGGTGAGATTAACATGTTCCTGCCTCCCCTCCACATCTCCTTTTCCCCTCCCACTACATACATGCCCATCAGAGTCCTTACCCATCTGCATCTTTGCAATGAGATTTAACTTTTTTCATGTTAATGTCATGTCTCTACCAGACTTTAAATTCCATGAGGGCCAGACTGTGTAATCAAGAGAAAATAGGGCAAGGATATAGAACTTTTGTTTCAGAACTATTGTATACATAAGGGAAGGAACAGATTAGAAAACTGTTAGCAACAGTGTCAGTTAGGGTTAACGTCAAAGTGGCTTATGCATGGACTTAATAGGCTTTTCTGTTTTAAGTTCTCACTTTGATATGCCTTCAGCTCTAACAACAGCAAACTAAAAACCTTCTACTGTGGATTGTGTTAAAAAGTCATTTAAGTTGTCGCAAATCCTTTTGAGAAGAAAGCGTGATATAACAAAAGAAAGGTTGGCTGCTAACTCCTTAGGCACAGCTACTATACTGGGAGACAGTTTATGATACAATAGAATCAAAAGACCTGGGTTAAAATCCTGGCTGTTTGTCACATGAATAGACATATGCGCACTCATGTTCATTGCAGTATTATTCACAACAGCAAAAAGATGGAAACAACCTAAGTGCGTATTAACAGACGAATGGATAAATAAATTATGGTACACACACATAATGGAATACTACGCAACAATAAAGAACAATGATGACTCTGTGAAACATCTCACAACATGGATGAATCTGGAGGGCATTATGCTGAGTGAAATAAGTCAGTCACAAAAGGACAAATATTGTATGGGACCACTATTATTAAAAACTCAAGAAAAGGTTTATACACAGAAAAAAACAATCTTTGATGGTTACAAGGAAGGGAAGAGGTGGAGAAGAGAAATCACTAACTAGATAGTAGACAAGTGTTAACTTCGGTGAAGGAAAAGACAACGTACAATACAGGGGAAGTCAGCACAATTTGACCAAGGCAAAGTTATAGAAGTTTCAGAGACAAATCTGAACACTTTAAGGGACTGAGTTACTGGGGCTAAGGACTGAGGACCATGGTCTTGGGGGACATCTAGGCCAATGGGCATAATATAGTTCATAAAGAAAATGTTCTACATCCTACTTTAGTGAGTAGTATCTGGAGTCCTAAAAGCTTGCAAGCGGCCATCTAAGATACATCTATTGGTCCCATCCCGTCCAGAGCAAAGAAAAATGAAGAAAACCAAAGACACAAGGAAAATATTAGTACAAATGACTAATGGACCACATGAACCACAGCCTCCACCAGACTGAGTCCAGCACAACCAGATGGTACTCAGCTACTACCACCGACAGCTCTGACAGGAATCACTATAGACGGTCCTGGGCAGAGCAGGAGAAAAATGTAGAACAAAATTCAAGTTCACAAAAAAACACCAGACTTACTGGTCTGATGGTGACTGGAAGAACCCCTCAGACTATGGCCCCTGGACACCTTGCTAACTGAGAACTGAAGCCACTCCCAAAGTCCACCTTTCAGCCAAAGATTAGACAGGCCTATAAAACCAATAACAAATGTGAGGAAGGTGCTTCTTAGTTCAGACAAGTATACAAGACCAAATGGGCAACACCTGCCCAAAAGCAAAGACAAGAAGGCAGGAAGGGACAGGAAAACTGGATGAATGGACACCGAGAACCCAGGGTGGAAAGGGAAAGGGGGAGAGTGCTGACACACTGTGAGGATTGCAACTAATGTCACAAAACAATTTATGTATAAAATTTTTGAATGAAAAACTAATTTGTGCTGAAAACTTTCATCTAAAACACAATTAAAAAAAAAAAAATCCTGGCCCTTGCAACTTACTGGCTTTAAACCTTTGGCAAGTCCTTAATCAAGTGGGAGCCTCAGAGACTATAATCAAGCTGGAGATAAGACAGTGTTCTAAAAAAGATAAAAGGTGAACTTTTCAACCCCTGAACGTACTTGAGATTGCAACCACTGCCGTTAAGGATTCTTCAGATCAACCACAGTTAGTCCAGAATGATAGGTATCATAAAATAGCACTTGGAATGGGCCAAAGAATCATGAACTCTTAGAGACAGAAGAGACCTCAGAAGTCATCTAACCTAAGTCTCTCCTTTTATAGTTTAGGAAGCAGGAATTAAGAGAGATGCCAAGCTACACGCCAAGCTTCTTTTTGCCTCCCAGACACTCTCTTCAATGTCATCATCTTCCCAAGATTTCATTATTTTCTCTGAAGCAAGTAGAATCAGATAAAATAAGTTCTTTCACCCTGAAAAAATGAACCCAAACGCTGGAAATACCCATAACTTTTGCCCCTGACAGAAGACTGGAACAAAAGAGGAAAGGTATACACACTCTCGCAGTTACCTGATTAAACTATCAGGTTCCTGAGTAGGAAGCTGTACAAAGAGTGACATTTCTACAAATAGAAATGCCTATTTGGAACTAGAAGTTTTCATATTTCTTCTACAGAAGGGTCACTGTGGGACTACCAAAATTACCTGCGAGTTTCTAGAAGTGATAACTGACTTCTCACTTGCCTATCTTCATGATGACACAGTGATGAAAAACAGAATTAGACTCTTAGGCTTCTTAGGAGTACCCATATACCAGGTAACCAGTTCTGGGAAGTGATAAACAGGACTTGAAACCTTTCCTTACTAACTGAACCAAACTAAACAAACTTCAAATGACTGTTTTTTATCCAAGTTCAATCCTAGGTTTGTGGCTCTATTGTCCTAGGCTCTTAAGTTCATCAACTTACATGACAAAGACATGAAAATGCTTAGGAAAAATCAAGAAGACACTCAGTGAATAAATTCATTTATTTTAGTTAAGGGAGGATTTGCCTGCAGCAGAATCATGTGAGGCGTTTTTTTAAATTAAAAAAAAAAAAAAAAAA